ATCTGATTCAGCAATCATATTGATTACACAATGCTTGTAACATTAAATCAATATTTTAGTCATTTTCTAACGCAAAGCTTAATAAGCCACCTTAAAATGAAACAATACATATGAGTGCTGCAATCAAGATTCTCGTCTTATGGTTTAATAACGTCTTACATTAATCATATTGAAGATGTAAATCTGAAGAAAAAAAGTTAGTGAAGCAAAATCTCATCTATACGACAAAAATAAAAGCGCACTATTATTTTCATACTTCTTCTTCAATTTCATTGCATTTTATTCTTTTCTTTTTTTTGCTAATCTTCTTGATTAATCTACGATCTTTTTTCATGAAACGTACGTTTAATACGACTCAAAATACCAATATGGCAAACTCAAAACCGGATGCAATGCTCGAAGGTGTGATTGTAACAGTATCAGAAATTTCTGATAATCAAAATGAAAAGAAAGGAAAATATTGGACGGCTTTGTTGTGCGATTCGAATCAAAATATCAATCGAATAACAAAATATCTATCATCAAGAGCAATGTGTACTCTTCATAGAAAAATGATTGAATATTTGAATAATGAATCTAGTATTAGACTAAACAAGTTAAAATGTAGTGGCGAAAAAACGTATACTGCAACTGCTGAAACCATCGGTACACCAATAGATCTATCATTAACACCTCTATGTACACAAATAACTACGATTAAAAATATTCAATCCATGTCCGATGAAGAATATATATCATTCAATTGTAAAATACTCGATATAGGTTCTGTAAGAATTTCATGCTACTGTAGTTCACTGTTACAAGTTATTTTTCTTTTTTTGAGGATGAAGTTGTCGTCTTTAACAATGCACAAAAACGAGTTCAAAAACTCAAAAGAAGTACAGTAGTAGCTGATAAAACGGATTTTATCAACATGAACATATGGGAAAATAATTTTGATTCAATAAAAAAAGATCAATGTTATTTAATTAAATTAGCAAAAGTCAAAATATTCAATGATGAACTATCAATAACAACAACAACACATACAAAGTGAGTTCTTTTTTTTAATTGATCCTTTTATTTTGCTTCTCCTGATGTTGCATAAAGACTTTCTAAATTGATAAATATCATCTCTCAGTGTTTATTTCTAAAATGAAACATTTGCCACAATTACTAGATTTGAACCTATCGAAGATATCACTGATGTTATGGCTTACGATTCTATTCAAATCTTACAAGAATCAGCAATCGCTGGTGTGATAACATCAATTGGATTAATAGAACATCGTTCTATTTGTCCAAAATGTTATTCAACTGATATCGAGTGTAATGACAAAACCATAAAATGTATAGCATGCAAATCAAGATCATTATATGTGAAGCAATCAGTTGAACAAAAAGAAATGAAACTTAATGTTATTGATGCTAATCAAAAACGATTTGAATTTATTGTAAAAACATCTCAAATTCAAGCTTTGTTAGAAGAATCCAATCATCAAGAACTTTGTCACAACGATTTAGTTGAGAATGAGGATGTTTTACTTGCTTTATCTTCGATAAATGTTTTCGTTAACTTTAATCCAAAAACGATGCATATAAATACTATTGTATTAAACAATATTGACAATAAATAAATAAATTTTGACAACAAAAGTACAAAAACAGACATAAATAAAAGTTGTATCATTTTAAGATATAATCTTCATATGATTCTAATTTTCGAATCTTATTGTCTTTATGATCAAATGCATTGACAATGTCACAAGCATTCATATCTTGTTTTCAGTCTCTGTCGCTCTTAATACTCATACTAAAAGATTCTCTTATCAATATATGCTTACAAAAGTATCAGACGACAGTATAAATTCATCGAATATGATATATCCTTTATGTTTCTTCACATATACCGCGAACGAATACAATTCTGATATTCAGTAATATCAGAGACAGCACAATTGAAACTGATAGAAAAGTTACAACTCAGATACACACCTATACGGTGACTTGGCATATCTTGTAAACAAAGTATTCAATATAACCATTCAAATAAAATTAAATATATCGCTCTTAACAAAAAGAAAAGAAATCGGAAAGTCAACAAAATACGCACTTCACTTTCTTTGTCTATTTTTGATCATTAGTCTGAAAAAAAGCACACTGTTCGTAAAATTAAAAGAAATCAAATCTTTTCCATCATATTCTTTCGATCAGCTATAACACTATTTTTTTATATAGCTATTTTACTCTGTACAATTTGCAAACAAACTATTGTCAATATTGAAATGCACTCTATAGAGCATTCACTTTATTTCTACTACTCCATAGACTGTATCTCATAAATTGAACAAAAAACGAATTACATAAAGAATCTTCATGCGATTCGTTTTACTGGGTATGTCGTGTTTCACACTTTTAATCCCGAAGGGATTGCGCTAACAGCTTTTCTTATTGTTTATCAATATCTTGACTCATCTTGATTTCATTCTTCTTGTTGGTCTATTTTTTTCTCTCTTCTTTAACAAAAGAAGTCAGTTTGTTTATTTTTTCCGTCGACACAGTCGACTTATTTTTGAGATTGTTAAAAAATAAAGATTAGTCGAGCTGTTTTCTTCTACTAAAGAAGTACTAGTCTTATTAATATATTTAACTCTCTTAAATGGAAAAGTTGTCAAATTAAGTGTTTGAAATTTTAAAAAATATTGAATAAAAATTAGTTTTGTGAAAATATTTTTTCTAACAAATATGTGTATTGATGATACTTGATAATTTTGTAAAAATTATATTTTTTCTATATTTCTATCATCTCTAAATTTTGCAAATTTTATGTGAGTTTATAATCCTCGTAGACTTTGTATGCCATCCGACAACGATTGTAGCCATATGGCTTCATGGTACGTATACATGTCTCTTAATCATTGGTTCACATGTTTTAATCTCATTTCTATCATTTCAGATTCATTGATATGTCGATATGCTAACAGTTCGTTGATCTACAGTAAGGTAAAGACCATGCGATAGAAGATATCGATGGTGACTCAGATCAAAGCTGAGACGAACTGAAATATTTTTTTTCATTTTTCATAAATTGTATGGAACACGTCTAGACGCAGTTTTCTTTGACAACGCGTCCCCAGTGAAACATTCGAAGCGTTCAGACGCGTTTTTATTTCAAAACGCGTTTATTCCCGATTTTGCGAACAACCGCGTCTGAATGAGATTTTACCTTCAGACGCGTCTTAACTCTTCGTTTGTTTCACTGGGGACGCGTTTAGACGCGTTCCCTTTTGTGCGTTTCGAGGCAAAATATATTTACATGGGTACTGGCCAGTTATCATATGCATTTTTAACTTAGAAGCTTCGTCTAGTATTTCTGAAGCGGTTGGTTGTTGTTACGAAAGTGTGTGTAGCAAGTGGTGATTGGCACGTTGTCCATAATAGGTAATGTGTGATGATTGAGAGTCTATGCAGTGTTGGCTATTGCTTCATTAGTTGCACAGGGGTCAGAATTGGATGTGGGTATGGGTGTATATAAAGTTTACATCTGTCAGAGATAGGATATTTCGGCTTTGCGACGTTTTTGATTCGATTCCAAAGCAGAACATGAGCCTATCGAATGGCTGACATGTATACCAACATTCGCATCGACCGCAATATATATGACAAATAAATATATTTAAAAAGAAGAAGTGTAAAAGCAAAAAAAATAAAGGTTTGTGGGTCTTTTTAATCAGAAAAGGCCAATATTGATATTAATGTTCCGTTGGAATATGAATATGACATTAACACCATGAGATGCAATTATGAATTTGCTTTCACTTTATAAAGAAATTATTTAGTATAGTATAACAAGGTTGCTGACAAGCATGATACATAAGACATTTGAAAAAGAAGAACAGTTGGCTAGACTGACTGCCGAGGAGACAAAGACATTTCCTACTGGTGTCCCGGACACCCGGTAATCCGTTGGGGAGATCGGAATTGATTTTTTCCTTTAAAAACGTTTACCGGGAGTACGTAATGGGCGGGTGTCCGTAACTCATTTTACATGGAGATCGTAAGTATATCATAATACTTATAGAGCGTGCTATCCTATGGAGCATGGAAATACTATATAATTAAAAATATCCAAGTGGAAATATTATTGGTGAGACGATTAATTCACGAAGCAACATCAAGAGAAAAAATCAGTCAGGATGATCGTAACGAACATCTCATCAGGAAGATCGTAATAGAAATCAAGTGCGAAATGTCTCTTTCCCACCAGCAGTTTTCTGCATTACCTACATTCTAAAACAAAATTGTCATACTACTGTACCTTTTAAAGTTCCGCAGTAGCTAAGAAACTCGAAATGGTTCTTATCCTGGATACACACGCGGAACCTTTCCCAAGGAACCTTTTAATGATCAGTGGTACCCAAAAAGGGTCAGTGTGAAGAATACAAAACAAGCAAGGTTTAGACAAATCCTGGATGGCTTGATACGTAACTTTTACAGTTTTTTCTGAAACCTTGATGGTTCTGTATTTTTCATACTGACCCTTTTTGGCTCCCACCGATCTTAAGAAGATCTCGTAGGAAGCTTTCCACGCGTATATCCAGGATAAGAATCATTTTAGGTTTCTTAGCTACCGCGGAACTTTAAAAGGTTCGGTAGAGTACCGATTCTTTTTAGAGAGTATGTTCTAGAATTAACTATTTTTTATTCAAAAATTACGTTGTCGACCATAATAACCCAACCATCGGTAGTTGTGTTTTATATAATTATTTCTAACTCAGTCCACCGAATACCGTGATACATCATTAGCGGCATCAATTCTAATACTCTTTGTATTTATTAGTCGTGGAGATGAATTTACAAATTTGTCACTCGTACTGCTTGAATAAGTAATTATCGATATGGTTATATTAGACAACTAATGGTGACTCTTCGATTCATGTTTGTTTCATTTAGTAAAATATGGGTGGATCGAATGTCTCTAATTTTCATTAGTGACTGCGTTTTTTCTTGAAACTACAAGGAAAATTATTCGATTGCCTTTGTTTGCAGAATACGTTTCACTTTTATAAATAGAAACTATAGCTTAACTTGAAGATTCTTCAATTTAGATAAAACTGCTTCGTAGGAAAAACAGCATCCATTTTTTACTCTTTTTTTGTGAAACACGATCTGAAAGGAGTGTTGAAGTATATAGGGTAGAAACTTGGGGGCGGGCCCGGGGGGGGGGGGGGGGGGGGGGGGGGGGGGGGGGGGGGGGGGGGGGGGGGGGGGGGGGGGGGGGG